TGAGGGCTGTAGCCAGGACTGGTATAGACTGAGACAAGCTGAAGATGGGGAAGGGGAGGTTGGGGACTTAGGAGGTACTCACCAGACATCAGACGTCGTTGCAGGGACAGCTGACAGTTCAGGGGAGCCAGGAGAGGGGGACACCTCACCAGAACCAGAGGTGACCCCATCTTCACAGGCACAGCCGGCTCTGATGCACAAGGAACAGCAGAAAGCACACTCCAGGCAAGGGGAAAAAGCCTAGCTCACTACTGGACTAGGTGGAGATCATGGGCCTTGTTAGTTCTGAGATTAAATTCAGGGCAGGTGAGGATCACATGCTTCATTAAGAGGAGAGACACAGCTACTCAGCTGGAGCAAACTCAGGTGCAGCAATCAAGATTGGGAAGGATAAAAAGGAAGCAAGGCAACAATTCTACGTCTACTCAGCTTTCTCTGTTGATGAACTATGGCTTGGCTGCTTTGCCCTTGGGACTGTGTCCCTTACCTGCTGGCACACCAGAATTCAGGATACCTTGTTGCCTGAGTACTTGTTTGCGAGAACACTGCAGGGTTAGAGTCTGCATTTCATTTTCTCCGCATGCTGCTGTCCTTTGTAGAGAGTGTGGCTATTGCACTACAGCAGCCTGGCTGGGTCTGTTGGGAGTTGTAGCCCAAAACTTCTGGAGGCCCTCAGGTGTAGAGAACAACCAATAATACCTAGGGCATCACTATACAAAGAGTGGTTTACAAACAATTTCCTCTTCTCAGGGAACTCTGGAAAATGTAGTTTTTTAGATGAATTCAGGGAGACTAGGAATCTCAGCATTCCCACTAAACAACATTTCCTAGGATTCTTTGGGGAAAGCCATGCCTGTAAACTCGTATAAAACCAACAGAAGACTGGCGATAAGTCTCCTGAGGATAAAAAAGCACCATGTATTATTCCTTTTCTTTTAAATTTCCCATTGTTGCTGCAAAAGTGGTGTGAGTGCAGGTGTGCATTTGAGTGAGTGAAGCACCTGGCTGACCACAATGCTCATCCGAATGTGTTTGGATCAGTGAGCGGCAACTTGTACAGGATCGGCCTTTGAATGAAGCCTGACCACTATAACCACTGTGGCCTCTAAACACATTCCCCGCCAGAAGTGTTATATCCTTAATAGACAATTCTACATTACAAGGAGGCAATGCATTAAAATAAAATCTGCACCTGCTAGTTCAGAAACATAGGTGCAAAAGTAGACATTTAAAAAGAAACTGAGTGCATCCCATCACAGCGGAGAAGCCTGTGGCCGGGTGATTTCTGTGCCTGCTCAGTCTGCTGTCCAGATTCACACATTCATGGGCCTCTCCTGCTCTCCCTTCTTAAGGGTTTTCTGTATTGGAACCAGGCTTGGACTGAGCAGCCTTTCCAAAGGACAAGGCCTTCAGATAGAGGACAGTCCTATGTAAAGTAGGACGGACAGTCCTACAAAAGGTTTACTCCAAAGGCCTGTTGCCAAGGCGATGGGGGTAGCCGAGCAGCAGTGCCGAAGCCTTATGGCCTGGGCCCCATTCACAATGGGTCGTAGAAAAGGCCACGCAAGCGGCTTCGGCCTATAAAACGCTTTTGGAAGCAGAACTGCTCTTGGCTCTCCTCTTGCCGTAGTGCGGCTCTGCCCTCCCGCAGTCTGAGATTTAAAAGCCCAATCTGGCCCAGTGTATAGAACCACCGAATGGGGGAAGGGCCCCTGGGGATAGATAAATAATGGACTCCAAACTCCCCTCAGGCCCCTTTTATCTACTATTCAGTTTGCTGAGAGGAGGTGCTGAAAAGAGCCTGTTCATATTCAGATGTCTGCTTTTGTCTTGATGTTCTAATTTAGGGTGGGCCCAGTTAAACACTTGAACGCCCTCACAGGCCTCTGCATTGCCCAGAATGAGATGCGCTCACATTCAAGGAGAAAATGTTTATTTTTTTTTATTTTATTTTTTAAAAAGCAAAACAAAACAGAAATCCTAAACTTCAGCACAGACCTAGCAGCTCACAGTGTTTACGCACGATCAAATATTAGGCTGACTTAAATTGATTCTCTTCCTACAAGACAGTAACACCTGAATTCTCCCCTCCCCCTTTTTCTTTTGGTAAAAGGGCAAGGATCAGGAAGTTTTGCACAGCTATGGGAAACAAAAGTGTATCAGTTCAGATAATTTCTACACTGGGGTATAGTTCAACTGAGAGCATTATTTAACATGCCACATGTATCTACTGTAAAAAAAAAGGCTTTCAAAAAATCTAGACTATATTTTAATGTTTTAAAACCTAGAGTTGGACTCTTGTCTCTCTGCTTCTTGTATTTTAGTGGCAGATCTTCTGATAATTGTAAGAATCAATAAGATCTTAAAAATTCTGTTCAGTTTCTCCAGGCTGTTGTGCATCATCATGGCATCAAAATGCAGGCATGTCTGAAGAACATAGAGCCTGGTGCTGCAGGGTCACCTTCATAGGCAAACGGATCATACTGTGAAAGTGGAACGCCACCAGGTCTCCTGATGTGGATTAAGGAGTGAAAGAGCTCCTATATCTCACAGCTCATGAATGAACAGGACACAGGGAAAGAGGGGGGGGGGAATTCAAAATATCTGATGGAATTTCTTAGAATTCTATGCAGTCTGAATAGCAGAAAATAGGTTTCTTTCCTTGTGCTACCCACACATCATCAACACAATGTTTTCTTTTTATTTCCTTGCCTCCTTGCTTTCTGTTTCTCCTTCAAGCAGAAGAGTTTCTCCTTCAAGTCCCCAAAATATTAAATTCCTGCACCACAGTAACTCAGAGCATGACCAGCCCTGTTCTGTGAAACGGTATCCAAGTTGAGAAATGGCTGGCACCCACTATACACAGATGGAACAAGCAATATATGTTGTTGAATATTGTATGTACGGTAATTCCAGACTGAGTGACTGTATTCGTACTTAAGCCTTATTTGGCCACTCTAAACAGGGTTAATTGGAATCATTCATTACACTATAAATTAAAATGTGTATCAGCTGGTAAAGAACAACTTCCTCTTTTCCATTGGCCTAATCCCAAATCTGTCCATCTATTATAGTCAGTGCCATTCAATTTCATCTGAACAGATTTACACAGCACACAGCTGGCAATCATATAACACCTACAATTTTTGTGCAATTTTTAAATGTATCCTTGTTCATTGAGTTTACCCAAAAACTGAAAAGGGTTAGCTGTTCTCCTTGTTTCTCGAACTAACTGGTTCAAGAAGAGATACATAACACAGAGCAGTGTAATATGGATATTATAATGCCAACTGCTAAAGTAGGCAACATTTGTTGTTAGATGCAGCGTAGTCACTGGATAATACTGAGAAATGACTGATCCATTCTGATTGTTACCGAAAACAGAGTGATGGGGAAAAAACAATAATATTGCAAGCCGTTACATCCTCTGGCTGTGGGACATTGTAATGGACTTGCCTATGGACCTAGAGACAGCTAATGAAAAGATACATGAATTCTCCTAACAGATTTTTCAAATGCTTAAAAGATCTTTACTCCAGAGGCAAATGTGGATAGAGCCAGTGCCAAAAATAGATGGTACAACCCCTTTCCCCACATTTTTGCCTACATGAAAGTAGGCCATGGGCTGCATGGAATTAAGCTGAGGTTGCTCACTCCTGATTTGATTTAGCAGGGTTTTTCCCACAAGAATGCAGACATGCCCATCAGTTTCCTACAATACTTCTTGAAGAATCACAGTGGATATTGCTTAGTGTCTGTTTAATAGATTAAAGATCCTAACAGATAAAAAGTCAGGAGGGAAAAGCAAGGGTTGCAGCAGCAACAACAAAACCATATTCTTGGATTCTTCAGCAGGAGCTGGCTGGCGGGTGGGGTGGGGGGTGGGGAGGCATTTTAATTACATCTCTAGCAAACGGAGTGCTGCTTTCATGAAGTTTCCAAGCTGCTCTGCAGTTTGTTCAGGTGACAAGCAAATGTCTGAGCAGACATATGGCGAGGTGAAGAATCAGTCTGTGTGGGTTGAAGATAACACTGCCAACTCACCTTCTGCCACTGCTGGGCAATTAAGGCAATTCAGCATCTCAGTGTGTTTTTCCTGGATGTTTACAAGTGAAAAAGAAAGAAAATACTTGCAAAGTCTGAGTGTGCTTTGATTGCTATTGTGGTGCTTCTGCACCTGAAAACTCTGCAGTAAAATGGTCTTGGGAAGCTGCAGACATTAATTAATCCTGTGATTTCGAAAATGGCTAGGCAAGGCCATTCCCCACAGTCCTTTTGCATGATGAAATAGTAATCTGAGAAACATAGGAAATATACTAGGCCAGACTTTTTGACCACGTAGCTCAGGGTTAGGAAAACTTTTTCAGCCCACAGGCCACATTCCTTCCCTGGCAATCTTCGGAGGGCCACACGCCAAACTTTGTCAAGTGAATTAAAATTACTGTGGGAAGTATAGGGCAACTCTGCTATTCAGGTATTTAGGACTATCTTAGATGATGTGATCTTTGAAGTCTGTCGATCAAGATGTGGCTGGCTTTTCTTTAATAACTAAGACAGGGGTCAGCAAACCTTTTCAGCAGGGGGCTGATCCACTGTCCCTCAGACCTTGGGGGGGCGGACTATATTTTGGGGGGGAAATGAACAAATTCCTATGCCCCACAAATAACCGAAAGATGCGTTTTAAATAAAAGTAAACATTCTACTTATGTAAAAACTGCTGATTCCCGGCCCGCCTGTGGGCCGGATTTAGAAGGTGATTGGGCCTGATTTGGCCCCTGGGCCTTAGTTTGCCTACCCATGATCTAAGATATCCACTATACAGTAGAATTCCTTTTTTTGTTTGTTCTTGTTTTACACTCCAATTTGATCTCTCAATTGCACAGTGTTTGGAGATCCTTAATTGCTTTCCTAGTGGAGACTGTCATCAAAGCAGGCGAGAGCGAGGGAGAGAGAAAAAGGGTAAAGAAAAATAAAACACCCGTGATAGATTAACTTTGGCGTTTAGGGCAAGTTTATCACCTTAGGGCATGAATCAAAGAGTAAAAATAACATTTTACCGACGGTAAATCTCTTTGGAAGCGAATTAAGATGGCTGCTGTGAAGAAATGCATTCAAGCTCTTTTAGCAATTACAGCAACATCAGGAGCAGCTACTGCAGGGACCGTTTGGGGCACACAATTTCCCCTTCCCCAAGGTTCTTCATTCATAGTAACTGGAATGGAGAGATAATATTTGCCCCACAGACATGACACAGTGAGTCAGTTTTACAGGGCATCGCCACTTGTCCCTTTGCAACTGTGGGTTGAGGAAGCTGCTCCCCAGTGCCTTCCAGCACTCTCCCACAGCTGGAACAATAACAGCCTATGCCTGTCCGGCTAGCCTGGATTATAATCCGGCAGCAGCCGTGGAGGATCTCAGGTGGAGCTTTACATCATCTTCTAATGTAAACAGCATTGTATGAGAGCCTGACAGTCCCCCAGGATTTCCACTGAGCAGTGATTGATGCGAAAAGGGATGGAATTGCCATGATTCGGCATCAGTCACAGTTCTCTCTTGGCTCTAAAGCTGACCCTGTTAGCACAGTCTGACTTGGATCATTTGTCTCAGAAGTACCGAGGGATTTTAAAACAGCTGTGGATTCAACCATTTCAAACGGGAACATACTTCTGGTTTGTGGTAAGAATAAACATACATCATATGCTCTTCAGAGCCCAGGGGCTCCTCGTTCTTGGCTTGCTTTCCGGCTCTCTCACTCTCTTTCTCTGCTGCTGCTGCTGCACTTTCTCTCTGCTATTCTCCCCCCCCCCCCCGGCTTGTTTCCACTGCTTTCAACTTACGCCCACCTTTGTCCTCGCACATCTTCCCTCCCCAAATTAATATACTTCCCTTTCCATCTCTTCTGATATAAGTGAGCAGGTGGGTGGGAGAAGTGTGTCCAAAGTCTAGAAACAATTGTGCATTTGGCTGTTTTGTACATCTAAGGCAGGTGGTGTGTCTTTGGGGTTCTGCTTTTTTGTTTTGGTTTTTCAGCATCTTAAACTAGTTTCCACTTTGAACAGCATCCAGGCAGCGTAGCAATGAAAGAGATGCAGTAAAGTGCAATAAAGATGAAGCCTGTCAGTCCTGCTGCACTTCTAGTAAGGCTGGCTTCTCAGAAGTGTAAGCTTTCAGCGATGAAGAAGAGGGCCTTTCTGGTGCTGCTGCTCTGATTCCCTTCCCGCAAGGGTTCACCTGGTGCCTAACTTAAGAGCCTTTTGAAACCAGGCGAAGTCCTTTTAAAAAAAATTGCCATTGTAACTGATTTCCGGGTTTTACATGCTGTTGTGGTGCTTCCACTCATTTGTCGGGATGAAAGTGAATGCGGCTTATAAAGTTTTGATTCAGTGTTCTGAAAATGTTCTGTGACTGGGAACCCTAAACACACAGGGTTCCCAATTTATTTATTATTTATTTATCATTACAATTCTGTCCAGCTTCTCTGAGGAGCTCAAAGTGACACACATACTTCCCCCGCACCCCCACTCAATTTTATCCTCACAACAACCCTGTGAGGTTGGTTTTTTAATGTTAATGTTTTATTATGCCTTTTATAAATGTTGGAAGCCGCCCAGAGTGGCTGGGGAAACCCAGTCAGATGAGTGGGGTACAAATAAATTGTTATTGTTATTGTTATTGTTAGTTGGGCTGAGAAACTGTGGCTGGCTCAAGGTCACACAGTGAGCTTCATGGCAGTATGGGGATTTGAACCCTGGTTTCCCAGATCGTAGCCTGACACTCTGGTCACAGCATTACTTGCTCTTTGCAAGGGAGACTGAGTTCGGTCCTTTCAGACCTTCCCTCCTAATGTGGAAAGACTGTGAATGGAGGAGACTGTCACATGTGACCTGCACCCTCCCTCCATGGACAGAGCTTTTAAAAGTACCTGGATAGCATTACCTGTGCCTTTTCTGTCAGAAATGGGATATACATTCACCCCAAAGGGCTTTTGATGTATAACATATTTTAGCTTGACAACTGCTAGATTTTAATGTGTAACATCTTTTAACTTCACCACCACTGGCTTCCATGGTGTTGATTACAGTATAACAATCTGTGACATTTGTATATGGCAACATCATAGTGTTTTATCCTTTTGCTATAAGCTGCCCGGGATGCGGGTGGCACTGTGGTCTAAACCACTGAGCCTCTTGGGCTTGCTGATCAGAAGGTTGGCAGTTCGAATCCCCGGGACGGGGTGAGCTCCCATTGCTCAGTCCCAGCTCCTGCCAACCTAGCAGTTCGAAAGCACACCCAAAAGTGCAAGTAGATAAATAGGTACCATTCCAGTGGGAAGGTAAATGGCGTTTCCATGCGCTGCTCTGGTTTCGGTGTTCCGTTGCACCAGTAGCGGCTTAGTCATGCTGGCCACATGACCAGGAAAAACTGTCTGCGGATGAACGCCGGCTCCCTCAGACTGTAAAGCGAGATGAGCGCTGCAACCCCAGAGTCGTCTGCGACTGGACTTAACTGTCAAGGGACCTTTACCTTTACCTTTTTTTAATATAAGCTGCCCAGGCTACAATAGGAGAAAAGCAGTATATGCATTTATATTATAAATCAGCTTCCCATAGGTCAGCAGTGCCATGGTTTACTGGGAATGTGATGTGATAAACTATGACTAGGCCTCGAATGGAGCCTGCTGCAGTAGTGTGTGTGGTTAGACTCACCTGGTCAGGTCACCTGGAGGGGCAAACGCCATAGCACGGCGTCTCTTAGTTTCTCCTGCACAAAGGGGTCAGGTTCATGTGGATTAAACTGTAGTGGGGCCTAAGGCATGTAGGATTGAGGCTGTCAAAATAGTTCACACGCTTCAGTTCAGCAGAGGTTTCTTGGGAGCCAGTATGCAGATTTCTGCCTGGACCTCTACAGGTGTGAATTAATATGCCTGATTCACACAGGTCTCTTCGAATTCAGATAATCTCAGGATGCCCTGCTCCACTGAGATAAAGTTACCTGCTTCCATCCGCTTTCCCAACTATTTTTCCATCTTCCGTCTCTTTATTTCCTCTGCAGCAACTCCATCCCAAGAGACATCTGCTATGAGGAGCGATAAACTGAGAAACAGAATAATTACCACAGCTTGCGCTGTCTCAAACAACCTTCGGTGCTCACATTTAAATTGCTGGCACGGAAAGCCAAGAATATAACAGGGTAAAACAAGTTCCCAGCCACATCTGCCCCAAAGCGAATGTTTCTTTGCCACATGAAGGAAACTGAAGCTTTTATTTACAGACGTCCTCCAGCCGGTGTTAAATGAAGCCAATCTGGTTCCCAGGATATGATTCTACTGTGTTAAATGATGGGAACACTACTGTGCCTTTCTCCCCATAGAGGACTCCGTGGCCTATCGGAGAATTGCAAGTTGGGAAGGACTGACTTGGAAACCTATTTTTCAACGCGAAGTGGCTACTTCCCACCCACCCCTCTGAAGTTTGCCCCGGAGGCTGTGTGGGATGATCTGTGGGCTTCTGATCAGAGGGAAAGAATGGCAGCAGTTTTATTCCAAAACGCAGCTGTGGATTAATATCACAAAGAAGAGTTTAGCCGGGCTTTTTTTCTTTTCTTTTCACAGTTCATTCACATAATGAATGTGAATGTCAAGACACCTTCATCTGAAGTCTGAGCGCTTTGGAACAAAGCAAAACAAAACAAATTTAGTGGAGGTGTCAAGTTTCAGGAACGCAGGAGCGGAGGTGGCGAAAAGCTCCACACAGGCTCAGCAATTGCTTTCTCTTCCATCATCCTGCCTGGATAAAATATGACCACACTCCTGTCTTCTGCTCCACCCACTCCCAAAGGAAGAGACGGTTGAGAATGTCTACAGCTTTGGCGCGTGAAAGGGCTGCAGTTTCTATGAGACAAGCTGTATTTTTTAGGAGGGGGGAGAAAGAACACCTTTTAGAAACTAACTTGGAGTAAATTTGAGGTTAGGAAATTCTCTGAGCCCTTCCGTAGTAGCCCTTATTAATATAAAGGTAAAGGTAAAGGTGCCCCTGCCCTTACGGGCCAGTCTTGACAGACTCTGGGGTTGTGCGCCCATCTCACTCAAGAGGCCGGGGGCCAGCGCTGTCCGGAGACACTTCCGGGTCACGTGGCCAGCGTGACAAAGCTGCATCTGGCGAGCCAGCGCAGCACACGGAAACGCCGTTTACCTTCCCACCAGTAAGCAGTCCCTATTTATCTACTTGCACCTGGGGGTGCTTTCGAACTGCTAGGTTGGCAGGCGCTGGGACCGAGCAATGGGAGCGCACCCCGCTGCGGGGATTCGAACCTTATTAATATAAGCTTGTACTATTAGTACAAGGCTAAGCATCCAGTTTTCACCAATTTCCCCTTTGCTATATGCCCTACAAAGAATCCTCCAAGCCACAAGAACAGCTCTTGTTAGGGGCATGAGAGGCTGCAGTGGGTAGGATGCCTTGCCAGAAATCAGATATGCACCTTGCACAAGCAGAAATGTAAAACCCTACTGCAAAACCAGTGTAGACGTCGCTGAGACAGGAGTGTGAACATGCTGGGAATGTGGAAGGTGTTGAGGCATTGCTCCTGAAGGTGGTAAATTGCCCATTTCTCCATTGTCTCTTGAGACAGTCGGATATCAATAACAAGAGCACACAACCATCCGTGGTCACAACTGATAGCCCCCCCCCCTTATTTTAAGTGTTCAAAGCACTAATGAATTCTTACAACCAGAATGTTCACCCTCATGTTGCAGAGGGCACCAAGAAATGGTGACTCATCTAAGGCAACAGGGAGTTTTCGGCAGAGGTAAGACGTGAAACAGGAAGTTCCCATCATAGGTGGCGTCCTTAGGACACAATTAGACAAGATAGCAGAAGAAGTGCAGTCAGCTTTCCTGAATGTTTTAAAGAAGCTAAATGCACCCACAGAACAGAACTGTGCCACTGTGGAAGAGGAGGTGTTAAACATCCCCCTTCCAGTTTCCTAGAAGTAGTCTTCGCTGCATAGGTGTTGGGGGTTAATTATATTATCTGAAAGGAAGCGAGTGCAATCAACTCAAGGAGCCTCCAGGGGAGATTTTTTGTGGGGGGGAGATAGCTCCAAAATGCTGTCCTCCCAAGGGGCCTCTGGAGCCATCCTGTAAGGCCACCAAAACTTTAATGGGCCTCCTACTTTTGTTACTGCTGGAGGGACTGTTAGCACTTCCAGTGTCACTGCAGGTAACATTTGCACAGACAAGTAGTTCAATTTCACACCTGCCCTCCATTCTCTTTCTTATTGGCTATGACCTGGTGTACCTGAGACATTCTGCAAACAACCACAAAGGAGATCAAAAGAATTGATGGTATCTGTGCTGATGAGGCACAGGGCGCAGGGCACTTCTAGCAGCCCAGGAGCCATTGCAAGGCAACGCTTTCCTGCCCTGCTCAGAAAAAATATAGTTACATCGTGAGCTCAAAGTAACATTGGAGGAACCGCACTGTAGCTCCTTCCCAAACCACTGTCTCTTCTACAGGAGCAAAGGTAGCATGGAGGTTTGCAGGGGAGGAATAAAACACATTAAAATGCCTCTAAAGTCAACAAATAATTACTCAATTTAAAAAGTATGAAAAACCTAAGTGGCCATCCTCAACCCCAAATTCAGTCCGATCAAGTTTTGGTTCTGGAAAGAGATGGAAGGGAAGGGAAGTCCAGGCCAGAGCCTGGGTGCCACAGCTGACAAAGTCCTATCTCTGGTCTCCACACACTTTTCTTCTGAAGGTGGCGGGGAGGGGACATGGAGCAGGGCCCCCAGTTCTGACTGCAGAATATGGGGCAGGTTCTTTGGGGAGAAGTGGTCCTTCAATTAGTTTGATGGGAGAAGATAGGTTTCCACAAAGGAAGTTTGCCTGGTGCCTAAAGGTGTATAATGAAGGCGCCAGGTGAACTTCCCTGGGGAGAGCATTCCACAGATGGGGAGCCACTGCAGAGAAGGCCCGTTCTCATGTTGCGACCCTCCGGGCCTCTCGAGGAGGAGGCACATGAAGAAAGGCCTCAGAAGATGATGGGTACAGGTAGGTTCATATAGAAAGAGGCGGTCCTTGAGGTATTGTGGCCCTGAGCCATTTAAGGCTTTACAGGTCAAAACCAGCACTTTGAATTGGGCCCAGAACTAATTGGTAGCCAGTGCAGTCAGACCAGGATTGGTGTAATATGCTCAAACCGTCTACCAGTGAGCAACCTGGCACTAGCTGAAGTTTCCAAACCGTCTTCAGAGGCAGCCCTAACCTTAACCTGGCAGTAGCCTGACCTGTAAGAGATGGTTTATCTTACTGGTCAGTTCTGTCAGCATATTTCAACAGATTACTACATAAATTTGAGAGCCTTCATTCTGCATCTGGTCTCTATTATTTACAGGCTTTTAATTCACTGAGTAGTTCTGCCATGGACTTATCCATTACAAAATACTTGGCAGGTCGTTGCATTGGAAAGGTGTCAGCCTGTGGCTAAAGTTGCAGGGGGAACAAACCCTAATAATAAGTTGGTACCTGTAGGAGCCAGGCCTGTTGCCTTTATAAAATAACCTTATTCTTTAATCACAAATTGTTTTATAGGCTTCTGCTAGTTTTTGTTTATTATTTTAACAATGGTAAATACAAGGTGGATGGGGAAACAGGGAATAATTATGTTAAATAAACAGTGCAGCAGGGGAACCCCAAATTTAGTATTGTGCTACCTGGCAAATCAGCTTAGCTATTCCAGTTATTATGGAAGATATCAACAAACCATGCGTTCATTTAGAATCTGAACAGATAGAGGGGCTTCCCTTTCATGCCCTGAGAATAAATAACCCACATATAGCTAATCATTTCCCCCAGTGTTTCTGTGTTGACAGCGGTGGATTTGGCACTTTCTAATTTCAGTGGCGCCCTGTGTGACACTAAAATTTGGTGCCCCCTGCTTCTCATGCTCTGTTCTACAGCAAAACACCTCTCCCCACCCCCAAACTGATATGGAAATGTGGAGAACTGAGGACTGCAAAGATGAGAAACTGAAATGGCCAGATTCACCCATCCCTAGCTTCTGTTTCAGTCAAAGTGAGCACATGCCCACATATTGCCTAAGGCAGCATGTAGGGAAACTTTCTACCTTCAAGGAACCCTTTCCGTACTGACTTGTCTGCTAATGGATCTCTGCATGTTGAAGATGATTTGGGAGCATCTTCCAAGGTGGTCCCTCAGTTCTCATTGGAGGCTGGTCACTTGGGGCCCGACTCACTTCCAATTGCATGGTCTAGAAATGCGCCCGAGAGCACCTCCTGTGGCGCTCGCTGTGCATGGGCAAAGGAAGACCACCAGTGCTGAGCAAACTGGCAGAGAGGGTGTCCGCCTTGCCGCACTGTGCTTTAACACCCCACCCCACCCCAGAGCATGCCCAGTTGGCATGATTGGCCAGCTAAGCCCACTCCCAGAGGGCAGCCCTGCCCAGAGCCACTGGCATGGCCAAGCGCCAGCAGGCAGGCAGCTAGTCTCTGGCCCCCAGCCAGATCACTGTGGGGCGCTGGTCAGGCCACAAAAATGCCCACCTAACACCTTTGAAGCAGAACGTAAGTGGAGGCAAACAGTCACAGTCACATCAGGCAGCAGATTCCCAAAGAGCAACATGGGCAACACTCCCCACCAAGGCTGCAATCCAGTTTCCAGTTAGAAACTCCACCCTCTCCGTCTTGACAATTCTCGCATGCTAGCTGTCCTAAATATGCACACCAACTCTCGTTTCCGGATACTGGATTGCATACCTTTTTGTACTTCCCGCTGCCCCAGTTCTGTAAACACGTGTCTGTGTAGTAAGAGTGGGTCATGTTTGAAACGTAGCATTTCAGTTCTACATTTCTGTACCTCTTTTCATGCTGATCTCACACTGCGCAACAAGCCCAACCAAATGGGAAAGCCAAACAAGCTAGTTACCTCCATCACCTGAACTTGGACTGCCTCATCCCACTTAGACAGGAGTGGGTGCTGTCCTCTAAAGAACTGCCACTTTGCAACCTCTAATAACATTATTGCCGCCTGCAGTGGATCACTGGGGAGTCTTCAGTGACACAAACACAGAGATTATGCAGCAGGGTAGGGTGGATCGTGTCCAATATCTGCAGCACAGCTGCTGATAGTGGCTCTTTCAAGCCAGCTCTTATATTGTTGGTGTTGGCTGTGTCCCAAGAGCAAGCAATGCAAAATCCCAGTCACTTAAAGTCCCCCCCCCCACCGCTGTCGGTTCACCATGATGTATGGCTTCAATGTGTTCTGTAACCTGCACATTGCTTTGTAGAGAAATATAATTAATTGTGAGCCACCGCTCCACATATGGGTGTGTGGGGGAAAGAAACGTGTTTGATTTGTTTATTCAAAACATTAGCGTTTTTTAATTCCCTTTTTGCTTTCAGGCAGAAAGGGCAATGGGGGTTAAGCAAAGCACCCCTGGTTCCTTGAACTTCAAAAAAAGAAAAACATGGAGTTGGGAGAGAGGGAGAGAGAGAGAGAGAGAGAGAGAGAGAGAGAGAGAGAGAGAGAGAAGAAAAGAAACCTTGCTCTTCTGGAAAGATCTAAGATCAGTCACATTATTTGAGCCAAGTATATCCAAGTCCAAGATCGCACTGACATGAAATCTTCCGTTGGTGGGGATCCTGGCTATGTGCACATCTTGGAGCAGGACACGAAATGCCCTCTGTGGCCTTGATCCTGCTCTGTGCTCTAAGGGACTATTTCATTATTTAAAACAAGGTGCAGGTTTAATTTGACCCTGAGAGCAAGCAAGGGGGTTTCTATTTGAAGTTTCCTTTTGTTACCAAGGGCACTGAAAGGTTCTTGACGTCAACTGTATTGCAGATATTAATATTACGCAGCTTGAAGCAAAAGGGGGATTAAAAAATGGACTCCCCTTGGAACATAAATTGTCTAGACCCTCAAGCAGCAAATTGGGACGGGCTGCCCCTGGGGC